GGCAATGGGAGCTAGTGGGCTGACAGTAGTTTTTATAAGAGACGTCGTCTATGTGGCAAAGGAAGCAGGACTGCGTAACAATATGGCAGATTCTGATGAACATTCGTAGCACAAGGATGAAGGGTGGTGTGAAACCCAGCGTGGAGTGCGGAGGGTTCTCATAAAAGCCGCTACGGTGTGGTACAGGCACACCGTACCACATTTAATTAAGCAAGTAAAATATTGTGACAGTGAAGGCGTGATTGGAGAATATATGAATTGTGAATAGACCAGGGCAGAATGGGAGATAACGTGTCTAGCACACGTTTGGCCAAAGGATTGGCTTCACTTGTCTCTTTGACCAGTTGTAATATGGTGCTACGAATGGTAAAACTCACTGACGATGGCGGCGAAACGTCTGGGAATGTACCGCATCCACGGTCCGACTTTGGAAATAATTATGCATACAATGGACTCAGGACAAGGTGCGTTCCTATTAGTCTTCCTAACAAATATGACCAAGTTGCGAAAACAAGGTCAAACAACTTCTACACAATTTAAGTTAGTTATGTCTGTTTGTACCGTGGAATCGAATGTTGCTAGCTTTTCTAAAGGTTAGCTAAATTTAAATCATAGCTTTATAAAACGGATGCAGCAATGTGAGCAAAGACATCATTTTTATAATGAAGTTTTTAATTTCGCTTGTTAACTCATTATAGCTATTTGTACAGGCTCTAAGTTGTGTGCATAAATCAGTACATAAATTCTCTAAACCCCTATTTTTAAGAACCACTTACTCAAATTTTGCGATCTCTGGTTCAAGCTCGAGAAGTTGACGGACAGGAGATTTTGGAATGCAAGCTGTATATCGTTCTGAATAAATTATAGAATAATATAAATAACACATTATTAGTCAGTAACTTAAAAAGATAAATAAGTCAAAATAAATATTCCTTAGAATAATTTCTGGGTGAAACTTTAGTAAAGGACCTAATGAGTGATAGCTACGATTCGCTGTAGGCGTACGATCAACTTCTGGAGTAAAGTTGCCGGTCACCTAGATTTTAGAAATGCTATACTTGCTTTAATACAAATGAGGCTGGCTTTGAAATTATACTGATACCGATTTCGAATATTTCTCCAAAAATTAAAGACCATTAAAGAGAAGCATGATAGTTTGTTAGATTTTGCTACAATGATGTGAGTAGGCCTAAAGTTGTCATTAAATTTCACTTAGCCTTGACTCCCAAGGGCATTTTCTTATTGAATTAATTACTTTGAGAAGACAGATTAAATTAAATGGCATCCTAATGCCTATCCATCATTCAGGGAAAATTCATACTACCGATTCCTAATCACGTACGAACAAAAATGACTTCAACACTTATTCAAGACCTATTTATAGTATCAAGGGCTACTGACTACGAATATAGACTAAGCATTTGAGTTAAATTCACTAAAAAGTGTAAACAATTATTCGATTGCTCAAAGAAATTATCAGTCCACATACTGATAAGGAAACTCATCTAAGGATGGATGCAGATGTGCATTCATATAAAATACGTACCAATTCGCTCTTTTATGAGAGGATAGAAGACGCGCCACACAGTATCCAGCGAGAGACCTGAGTCTAAGAAAACAGCTCCAGCTAAGGATTCAAAGATATCTCCCAGCACCTTGGGGATTTCAACGTCATCGAGATATAGTCTCAGCGGAGGACGTGCTGATGACTTGCTCTCATCAAGTAACCGAGAGGAATCGACAGATAAATTTTCGTTAAGTGCTGAGATTCGAATCTCGTCAATAAAGTGTACCTTTTTATCACTGGAAATGCAACCTGCTGTAGGGGAAGGGATCTTAGAATTTAAAAACGGCAAGAAAAACAAGATACGTGAAAAATGATCAGAGATATTTAGTAATGAATACAAATTGCTTCATAAAAATTAATTGTACGGTTACAAATATCTACCAAAGTGAGGGAATTATCCGTTGGAATCGAAGATATGTAGACCAATATGCTATCACGCCGTCACCGTCATAATGTTTTACTTGCTTAATTAAATGTGGTACGGTGCCCTTTTTTAGCGGATTTCATGAGAACCCCCTGCACTCCATGCTGGCCTTCTCACCGCCATTCATCCTTGTGCAGGGAATGTTGAC